CTGCCCTACACAAGCAGAGATGAGCCCAGTCATCCCTCCTCTCTCCCATCCCTGCTGCCGTGGCTGTGGACCAGAAGGCTGGCACAGCCAAACTGACGGTGCTTGTCTGCCGCAGCAGCCTGCACTCATGGGTCCAGGTCTACCCTCTGAGCAGGTGTCTGTGGTTTCCATCCTTCTGCTAGGCTGCGGTTCTCCAAAGCCTAAGCCCCAGGCCCAGGGTGCTTGATCTGGAGAAACTTCCAGCACCAACCACCTTCAGTGCTGGCCCATCCTTCCCCCATCAACTCTCAGATCCTTATGTGAAGCCCAAGGCCAGGGCTGTGCTCTAGACTCTTCTAGACTCCCGTTTCCTTGAGATGGCTTTGCCTCATGGGCCCGCTGCCTCTTTCCTGCCATGCGCCTTGGTAGGAGCCATGCTGGTCTACCCTGAAAGCGCTTCCTAACTTCCAGTCCCACGACTGCGGACATGGAGTATCAGCCCCTTCCCTCCCTGAGGCCCTGGCTCGTTACTCAGGTAGGCTCTCCTGCTCCACCACTAGCCTGACATTCACTTAAGTAAGAGGACAACTCAAGGGACCTATGAGGGGACAAAAAGGCTGGCATTCTTTCTCTCTCCTCTCTCTCTATACACACACACACACACACACACACACATTATAATGGTAAAATACTATAATAGGACAAGCCTCAGTGCTATGGAGCCCAGAAGAAGAACGTCTGATCCAGACGTGGGAAGGGAGTGAGGAAAGGCTTCTCGAATCATTTATCTGCATTATGATTCCAGCTCACACCCATCCTACATCCTGAGTGCCTTAGGCCAGGGAGCTGGTCTGAATGACTGAAGGGCTCAGGCTAACGTTAGTTCGAACACAGGGAGTCTCCACGGAACTACAGCTGAGGAAGAGGTGGGGACTCCGGTCAGGCCAAGGTACAGTAAGACGGGAATTCAGGGAAACAGCACTTGAGTCCCAGCACCAGCAACTAGTGATAGCGGCCAATTGTCTTCAAACACTAAGCAGACATTTATTGTCTAGACCACATGCTAGGAGCTGGGTGCGCCAGGATGAAGTAGGCAGCCCCAGGTGTACCGACCAGGCATACAGATCCCAACTGAGGACTGAGCAAATGCACAGAAGCTCGGAAGTGAAGGACCCACCCCTCCCCGAGAAGGTCCAGGAAGGCGCAGGGGTGCAGACAACGTTGCAGGTGGATCTACAGGGCCTCGGTTAGTCTAGAGGATGCCTTTGGCAAAATGTGGAAAAGGCTTCTGCTTTAGGGAGACAACTTAGAAAAACAGACCTTCCCCTGGGCAGGTCAATGTGAGGTGAGGTACACAGGTTGGATTTCAGCCTAGAGAAGTTAGGAACTGCAGGAATGGGCTGGTGTTGCTGAACCATTCTGTTCAAGGTGGGCAGTAAGGTGGGCAAGAGATGAGGCTGGAGCAGCAGACAGAGGCCAGGTGCCGAAGGCCTTGCCTACCAAGTCTGGGAGGCTGGCTGTGTGTGGTGGATGAGGGGGCCAGTGGGTTGTGAAAATTGGCAGAACTGTTTGTGGAAACTGCAGCCAACTGGCTCCACCTGCCTTGTCTGAAGGGGGCAGTTGCTTCTGCTCATGACCCCATGTGAGAAGTCCAGGCCAGTGTGGCCCATTTCTGCCATTATTCAAGGAAGCCAGAACCTCTTGGCCAGGCGCCTTGGCGGAGTGTACAAAATGTAACACATTTAAGGTAACCCTGGCCTTGAAAGGGTGCCTTCGTGCTACCCAAAACAAAAGGGACCCAAACAGAAGGGCAAAGGCATTCCAGGCAGAGGAACAACATGGACAAAGCCGAGGTGGAACTTGATCCAAGACTGTTAAATTTCCCAGAGTGCAGGTGGTCTGGGGTTCAGAGGGATGAACTGTAGAACAATTGCCACCAAGTAGAGAGCAAAGAGGAAAGCTCTACTACTGGAGATCAGTTCCGAATCTATCAACGGTGGGGGTGAGAGAGTTGAAATGACAAGGTAACCGTCCTTTGCAGAGAAATTATTCAGGAAGTTTCAAAAATATGGAAAATATCTGGGACCCATCCCTCCCTTAATTAAAAAAAAGAAAAGAAAACACCTTTCTCTTCTAAAGTAGAATTTAGAAACTGAATCTCCCAAATTGATTATGCTTAGCTTTTCATTTCCCTTTGTGAGTTTGGAAAGGAACAAACACATCTTACTTGGCAGGATTTAACCTTCTCTGCAGCAGACCTACCCCACCCCCCACCAGGGATGAATCACTAGGAAGAACATTCTAATCAGACCACCACCATCCACAGACAATTCAAGGAGATAAAATACATGTAAGTGTAGACTTTTAAAGCTAGTTCTTTTTGAAATAAAATAGGCCATTCGCTTACCCTGGCTCTCCCAGAATTAGCCAAATGGACAAGTAGGGGAGGCCACCCCACCACAACCACAACCAAAGGTGTGATTTGAGAAAGGCAAGGGGTTTCCTAACTTGACCTCTAAACAGTCCCTGCCCGAGCACGTGCTACAAAACTCACTCCCTGGGACAATGGTGTTGTCTCTTGAAGGTCCTATCAGTATTGTCTCTTGAAGGTCCTATCTTATTGGGAGGACTCATCTACACAGCAGCCATGTCCCCTTCTTTTCTCATAGTGCCCTGACTTCTCATAGGTGCCCTTCTCCAGGGGCTGCAGGGGAGGCTGCCCCTGCTCCAGATGGTGAGTCAGGATTGGTCCAGGCAGGTCATGTGGGTCCCGCCCCCCCCCCACCTGCCAGCAGGGTTTAGCCACGGGCAGGTGCATACTTCTGGCCAAGGAGATATGAAGGGAGTCTGAGGAAGATGGGTTGTGCTTATAGAAAATATCTCTCAGCTCTTAGAAAGAAACAAGAAGAGGAGACAGTCCATGTTTCTGCCCGGGCTAAAGGTGTATGTGGATGTGTTTTCTGAAACTGGTGGCTATCCTGTGACTAGAGGGCAGTTAGATTGAGTGACACACACTAAGGGTGGAGAAGTCAAAAGACAGGAAGAAACCTGGGTCCATGATGACATCATGGAGCTGCAAAATTCACCAACACAGAAATGGTCCTTTTCAAGACTTTTGTTAAATGAGTTAATACGTATTCTTATTTTTAAGGTATTTTAAATTGGGTTTTCTATAGTTTATAGCCAAAAAAAAAAAAATACCCTAACTAACACAGTTTTGATGTCTTCTCTACTTTGACACTTAATTACTCCTAAACACAACCACAATCTGGATTCTGCCTGTCCCAATGCCAGTGAACCTGTCCTATCCACAGTCCCTGATAGCTTCCTAAATACGAGATTGTTGGCCATTCTCCAGGCTTATCTAACTCAACCTCTCTCCATATTTGACTCTTGTACTTCACCTCCTTCTACTTCACCTCCTTGTACTTCACCTCCTTCTTGTACTTCACCTCCACTCCTTGACTCTCATGACACTAATATCTCCTAGTTCTCCTCCTACCTGTCTGAACACATCTCCTTTACCTCCTTCACAGATTCCTCTTCTTCTAAAGACAAAGAGGCCTTGGGCTGTAGCTGGCCAGCGGGTCTATTTTGTTTGGTGTATATAGTGTACATTTTAAAAATTTGTTGCCAACATTAAAAATTGAGAAATCTCACACAATCATAGGGGTTCTGGCTTCCTTGAATAATGGCAGGAATGGTCCACACTGGCCTGGCTTTCCCGCATGGGGTCATGAGCAGAAGCAACTGCCCCCTTCAGACAAGGCAGGTGGAGCCAGTGGCTGCAGTTTCCACAAACAGTTCTGCCAATTTGCACAACCCACTGGCCCCCTCATCCACCACACACAGCCAGCCTCCCAGACTTGGTAGGTAAGGCCTTCGGCACCTGGCCTCTGTCTGCTGCTCCAGCCTCATCTCTTGCCTTTACTGCCCACCTTGAACAGAATGGTCCAGCAACACCAGCCCATTCCTGCAGTTCCTAACTTCTCTAGGCTATTTCTGGCACCCAGGCCTCTGCATTCTCTATTCCACTGGCCTCCCTCCATCATCATTTCAGCCTTAGTACATCTTTGTCACCTTTAAGGCCCACTAATAGGTCCCTCCTATTAGTCAGGGTTCTCCAGAAAAACAAAACCAATATGCTATAAATAGATACATAGACAGAGATTTATTTTGAAGGATCGGTTCATGTGGTTATGGATGCTAAGTCCCATGATCTGCCTTCTGTGAGCTGGAGAACCAGGAAAGCTGGTGGTGTAGCTCTAGTTCAAGTCCAAAGGCCCAAGAATCAGGGGAGCCAATGGTATAAGTCCTCGTCCTAGTCTGAGTTTGAAGGCACAAGACTGATGAGTACCCATGTCCAAGGGCAGGACAAGATGGATGTCTCAGCTCAGTAAGGGGGAGCAAATTCACCCTTCCTGTACCTGTTGTCCTGTTGTTCTATCCAGGCCCTCAATGGATTAGACCAGCTCACCCACATGAATGAGGATGATCTTCTTCACTCAGTCTACCAATTCAAACACTAATTTCTTCCAGAATCGTCTTCAAAGACACACCCCAAATTAATGTTTTACCAGCTATCTGGGCATCCGTTAGACCAGTCAAGTTGACACATAAAATTAACCATCACCACCTTCTTAAACTCGTGGTTCCCAATTTAAAGTAAGGTTAATCAACATCATTGAGTATTTTCTCCAGCTGTGTTCAGCTACTTGGTGCAGGTAACGAATAGGAGGAGAGTGGGAATTTTGTCAGCAGAGTGTAACAAAGGGAGAGAGTGCAAGGGGATGGCTGACATGGCAGACCGTGGATTCTAAGCTGGTCAAGAAGGGAGGTGCAGACAGTAGCAAGCTTCATACTCACGACCAATAATGCTGTCTCCAACCGCCAATGTAACTATTATTTTTGTTTTTGTTTTTAAGCTATAACAATAGAATTTACTTCAATAAAATGTAGTATTTTATATGTTTTTAAAAAGTCTTTTATTATCTATAAACATTTAAAAAATCCTTTGGAAAACTGAGTGTTTTGAATCCATCTTGATAGGTTCCTGGTTTTAACAGAATGCATGATAAGACCCAGGAAGCCTGGGAACCACGATCGCATGCAACCTTCACCCAGGCAAGGTACGTTTCACAGGAGCCACATGTTCTGCTGATTATCAATGCAGGGCAGGAGACAGATCTGGTCTCTGACCCCAACTCCTTCACCAGCTGACTTGACCAGGTTCCTCAGCTTCTTTTAACCTCAGTGTTCTCATCTGCACGGTAGGGATAACAACAGAATCCACCTCCTAGCCTTGCCATAAGGATTAAATGAGAAAATTCACATGAAATGCTTAGCAGGGTGCCAGGTACATCATAAACATTCAATACAAAATAATTATGGTCTGTTAGAGTAAGTACTCAATAAATGTCACCTGCACTCGAATGTTTATAGCAGCACAATTCATAATTGCAAGGCTATGGAAACAGTCCAAGTGCCCATCAATCCAAGAATGGATTAATAAAATGTGGTATATGTATATCATGGAGTACTATTCAGCTCTAAGAAACAACGGTGATATAGCACATCTTATATTTTCCTGGTTAGAGCTGGAACCCATACTACCAAGTGAAGTTTCCCAAGAATGGAAAAACAATCACCACATATACTCACCAGCAAACTGGTATTAACTGAGCAGCACCTAAATGGACACATAGGAACTACAGTAATTGGGTATTGGGCAGATGGGAGGGGGGAGGGGGGCAGGTATATACATATATAATGAGTGAGATGTGCACCATCTGGGGAATGGTCATGCTGGAAACTCAGACTTGTGGGGGAAGGGGGGAAAGGGCATTTATTGAAACCTTAAAATTTGTACCCCCATAATATGCTGAAATAAAAAAAATATATTGAAAAATAAAAAAAAAATAAATGTCAGTGTTTTATGGTTATTGATGGTAGTTCTGTTGCTGTTATTTAACCCCTAATAAAGAGTTAAATGCTTGAATACCTCAATGATAAGGAAGTCTCCATCTCATTGGTATTCTACTCTATAGTTGGACAATCTTAATTTGATTTGGGACAGGAAGCATTTATGTTCTCAGCTCTGCTCTAAGTACCTTACATGTGTTATTTCACTTAATCTGCACAACAGGATTCAAAACCAGATCTTCCTTCTGCCAGAATCTGTACTTTTTACCCAACAAACCACACTTCTTCCTGATAAATTCAGTCATTTGTTGTAGTCCTGATCTCAGGAAGGACCCAAAGGAAATCACCTCCTCTCCTACGTGACAGTTGCCTCCAAATCAAGAGGCAAGCTCTCTGGAATTGTTGATCACACTGGGAGATTGCCCCCTCACCTGGCTGGGACTGCTGGGAAAGTCAGCAGCAAACAAACACAGAATGGCCCCAGGGTCCCATGGGCTCCTCTCAGAGCCTCTACTTCTGCCAGAAGCTCTATCCCAAGAGAGACATTTTATCTACTTCCATAAAGTCCAGGAAGCAACTTCTCTACCAGTAAGACAAGGATCTGCAGATCCCACATTCCCAGTGTAGGATTCTGATGCATGACCCTCTGTCCTAAAAGGATGCGCCATCATTTCGTCCTTCAACCAGCAAGCTTTTAGTCTTTGCCGAGCTATATAGGTACCCAGGGAATGCAAAGGAAGTATGAGGTCTGGCCCTTAAGGATATAAGGACACCCCATATAAACACCCCAATAGCCTATGTGACCTCAGACAAATCACTTCCCCATCCTAACCCTCAGCTTTCTCAGTGTGAAAGGGGGATAGTAATAACTACCAGAGCAAGGACTACTGTGGGGACTGAATGAAATGATGCTAGCTATTACTACAGAAGGTACCCACACACAGACCCCCTTCTTTGGTATCAGAACCCCAATTTTGTTCAGGAAAGCACTGTACCTGCCCCCAGCCTATGAATTAAAATTGATCCGATATGATGGTCATGAAAATCATATTTCTCTCCACCAAGATACTCACTTTCCACACTCTCTTCTGCCTAGGAATGTCCATTTGCCCTTGTTCTGGCCAATGAGAGATAGGAGGGTTCGCGAAATTTTTTGCTTCCCTATAAAAGAGACAGGTATGAGCTAATACACATAAGTACTCCTACCTCCTCCCCATCCTCACATATACACACTTTTCTCTCCTCTTCCTTCCTTGAAATCAGATGCAATGCCTGGAGCTATGATAGCCATCTTGTGACCATGAAGTGGCATCTATGAATACAATAGTCAAAAGCTAAGAAGCAGAAATGAAGAGTGACCCTGGACACTTGATGAGACACTAGAGCTGATAAACCAACCTCAAAATGCCTACCTCAGAGTTCTTAAGTGGTATAATAAATGCTTAAGCATTGAAGCCACTATTAATCAGAGTTTCTGACTGATTGGATACTGTCATCTATTGTTATGATTCACTCCAAGCTCCCATCACTGTTCCTTCCATGACTTGGTGCAGTGAAGCATATCCTGAGTACCAAAAGGGCCTTTTGAGGGACATTACTTTAATCAGGCTACACCCAGTAAAGTCAAGCTCCTCTATTATTTTCCATAAAGTCCTCCTGTACAAAGAACCCCAGAAGAATCAGCAAATGAGAGACCCTCAGCCCCACATGACTCACAAAATGTTTCTGAGAGATTCTCCCAGTACTACACCATATCTGCAGCCTTTTTAGCCAACCCCACACCCGATATGTCTCGTATGTTGCGATAACGCCGTTCTGGGTGTGTCCCGGGGATTCCGCTCTGCTTCAGTGGAAAAACTTATCCTGGCTGAGAACCAGGTGTCACCACTGCCCGTGTGAAGACAGAGGAGGGCTCTGAACATGTGAGCAAATGCATAGAGAATGCTTAGCACAGTGGCTGGCACCTAGCGATTTCCCAGTAAAAGGCGGCTGTTATTCTCTATGATCATGATCGTTATTTAACACAATTGCTGTCCCTTCTTCAGCTACCCCACAGAGGGGTAGACAGGCCCTGTACCTCCAAGTCCATCCACCCTCTGTGACATAGAGATTAGGATTCCTTCTGACTTGGTGTGTTCCCAGAGCAGGAGGGGATTAGCAGGTTCTGGTAGGTGAGCAGGTGTCTGAATAGGTTACATAAAGAAGAGGCAGGACTTTGACCATTCAGAAGCTGAGTCAAAGCCATGGCAAAGAAATACACCTTTCCCTCCAACCTAAGCTGAAAATCAAGATGAAGTTTATATTATTCATCACCCAACAAGTATTTATTGAGGTGCTTGGCAAGTGCTCAAAACTGTACTGAAAAATTCCCCTTGGAGACAACGAAGCGAGAGGGGTATATATTGCAGAGGGGATTTGTGGCTTGATTAAAAGCCTTCATTCCAGGAAGACATCCTCAGATTTTAGCTGCTTGCTTTCCTGGAATTCTAACTGAGGTCCCAAACTAGAGAATCCCAAAAGACACACACCAAGCTTCCCAACAGACCACTCCTCTAAATTATACCCTGCAGCTCTATAAACAAGCCAGTCCAACACATCTGAATGACAATGTGGTGGGATTCACCTTTGTTTTGGTGCTGAAGTAATGAGCAGTCTCCTCGTGTGCTGGGTTCCTGCCCACAGGTAGCTACCCCAGTGAGTGTTGCCGTGCAAAGAGCACAGCACTGCAGCCAGGGGACCTCTGTCTCCACCACCGCCCCATCCCCACCCCCATGGGACTGCTGCATGGCTCCATGTGGATCATCGAGCTCCTCCAGACCCTCATGTCCCCACCTGTCAAGTGACAGAGCTGACACTATGGCCCCTGTGATGGTCAACTTTATGTGTCCTCTTGGCTGGGCCACAGTGCCCAGATATGTGGTCAAACAGGATTCTGTATGTTTCTGTGAAGCTGTTTGTGGGTGAGATTTACATCCAAATCAGTGAACTCTGAGTAAGGCAGATGCCCCCGTGATGTGGGGGCAGGCCTCACCCAATCAGCTAAAGACCTGAACAGCACCTGAATAAGAAACACGTCTGCCCGCAGACACCCTTTGGCTGGACTTGAACTGCAGCTCTTCCCCGGTCTCCAGCCTGCTGGCCCACCCTGCAGATTTTAGACTCCCCAAACCACCACAGTCACATGAGCCAATTTCTTAAACTACATACGTGTATATATACACCCCCACATTCCAGGAGCTAACATGGTTGCTAAAAAATGTATATACCCCACACAGCATTGGTTCTGTTAATCTGGAGAGCCCTGACTAGTACAACTCCCAAACTCCTTTCCAGTTCTGAGATGGGGGAGTCTGACAGGTGGCGGAGGGGAAGGTTTGGCCTACTTCTCAGCCTGCAGCTCCCCAGGGCAGAGATGGTAAAGTGATCGGGACAATGTCCTCTTTCAGGAGGACTTGTGCAATGGGCCTCCTCAGCACAGCAATAAATACCAGCAGTCCCAGAACTGGTACACGAAGTACTGTGGGGGTATGGAGAGAGATAAATTGATATGAATGTAGCCAAGAGGAAATCCAAAATAGGAGGTTATGAAGACAGCTTCACATTCCACAAGTTTTGCCATCTTCTGTCGGGACTTCCCCGCTACTTGTCACGTTACGTCGCCGTTACTCCAGAGGCAGGAGGCAGGTTTTTTTGACCTGTGACTGATGAGCTGTTGCTATAGAGCAGAGCATCTGTTGCAAAAGAGACAAACACACAATTTGGGGAGGATTGAGGAAAGCGGTAGGGCGGAAAAGTTCCCAATATTCAAATTCATTCGAGGACCACAGCAACTTGGAAGAGCCTGCTCTACGCCAGCTGTCCCCTGGATGCCCCTGGGACCTTCACATGCCTTTCCTTTAACACATTCCCAGCGGCTCACAGACACAGGTTCCAGAACTGGAGAGGCCACAGATGGGAGGTGGTGGTTCAATCTCAGCCTCCTTTGCTGGCTTTTCTTCCTCCTTAAATCCTGTGTGTCCCATGTTCCCTCGAAGGCCCCCTTTGCTTCTCTTCCTTTCTATAATCTTTCAGGCTGTCCCAACCACCAACATGTGGATGAACCCCAAATCTAGATGTCCAGCTCTGACTGCTCGCCTGTGCTCCTGCCTTGAGCTCCCCTCGAGTGTGAGCTCCATGAGGGCAAGGACGGTCATCTCTTCTCTCTGATGTGTCTCTAGCACCTGGAACAGTTCCTGGAGCATTATTGGTGATGAATAAATACCTGCTGAATCAATGGCCACCTTTGGACATCTCCACTTGGGCTCTCTTGGACTCGGCACATATAAAACCAAACTCTTGCTCTGCCCTTTCTCACCCGGGCCTCGCCCTGCATCCTTCGTTTTGTTGGTTCCCTCCATTGTCTATTCCTCTCTCACTCCTCTGCGCTCCGTTGCCTCCCACTTTCAATGAATCTCCACATTCTATCATCTTAATTCTCCTTACCTACTCAGTTTCTCTTTCCCCACCTGGAATGAGGGACTAGGCACCCGTAACTCTTGTTGCATCTTGTTGTACGCAACAGATAGTCATCTATTTACTCTTCTGCTTCTCCCACTAAACAGTGAGTCATGTGATAGCAAAGACCTGAGGTGTTGCCATTCACCTGTGTGCATGGGCGTGGCAGAAGTCCCAGAATCTGAACACCCACTTCTTATTTGGGGAAAATCCTCCATGGAGTGAGAGTTGGTGAGGGGCAGGGTCTCACCTCCCCCTATGGAAGCCAAGGGAGCCAGACACACTCTCTCCAGTGGTCATAATCCCGCGACCTGGCCTCATCCGGTCAGAGGCTTCCACCCAGAACTTAAAAACTGGAGGCAGGAAAGCCAAGAGGCATGTTCATCCAGAGCTTATTTGTGTTCTAGCCCTGGGGGACACGGTACCAGTGGGGTGGTGCCAACTGTGAGTCCTAACCAGCAGACTGCTCCCGGGACAGGCCCTCAGCTGTGTCCTCTGTAGCCTGCCTCCCTTGGTCCCTGCCTGTTGTCCAAGCCCGGTTCTCCAGCTTCCTACCAGCTCTGAGAAGTGACCACTATCCTTAATACATGGCCCTTTTACAAATAAGTTGAGCTAGAGTCAGTTTCTGGGGCTTGTAACAAAGACCCCTGACTGACACACCTGTTCTCACCTGTCAACCCTAGCGTCTAGCAGGTTACTTGATATCTAATAGGCAATCGGTATGTGAATGAATGAATGAATGAATGAATAAAGGCAAAAAGAAAGAGAGGAAGGGAGGAGGAAGGGAGAGAAATCATTCTTAATTTTTTTTTTTTCCTTTTTGACTATTTCCCAGGTAAGCTTGGAAGTAGGGCGAGAGGGGTGGGAAATTATGAATCACTGTGTGTGTGAGACTCAGGCCTTCTTTAGCATCCCGACCCTCCTCCTTCATCACTGCATCTTAGAATCCTTAGGGAATGTGAGAAAATGTGTCATCCTCAGCCCTGAGATATCTCTAGCATTCAACACCCTCCGGGCCGTAGGTAGATGATCATGCTTTCCTTTCTAGAATGACCTGACATCAACATGATGCCTGGTCAGACCAGGACGAGCAAGGGGAGGAGGGAGGAGGGTCAGAGCGGTTATGGAGAGAGAGATGAAATAGGGAGCTGAGAATTCGGGAAGGCACATAAATGGAACCTGTAAAATTCCCACGCTTTATAAAAACCAGCCGAGAATAGAAATTGGTATAAGTTTTCTGAAAATCACTCTGGCATTCCTTTTGTCTCAAAAATGCCACTTCAAAGCACTTGTCTTAAGAAAGCAATCAGAAATATGGACAATGATTTATGTATAAAAATAGTCATGTTAATGTTACTTATAACCAGAAAAAAATTGGAAGCAACTTAAATGTCTAACAGTAAGGAAGTGGCTGAGTAAAACATGTCTCATCAATACAATGGAATATGAGACAGCTGTCAAACATGGTGTTCACAAAAAAGCTATGGGGAAATTCAGTGACACAATGTAGTACAGAAACGACAAGGGACATGCAAAACCATGCACATAGTGCTTGATCTCAAACAAATAAAGAAAAATGTCTACATTTGGAAAAAGCCTAGAAAGAGGCTATCAGAGCATTCACAAGGGTTGTCTCTTCCTGATGAGATCATGGAATTTTATTTTTC